TATGATGCTGAATTCTGTTGGCTAGAATTTTGTTGAGAAATTTTGCATCTATATTCATGAGAGATATTGGTCTGTAATTTTCTTTTTTTGTGGCATCTTTGCCAGGTTTTGGTATCAGGGTTATGCTGGCTTCATAGAATGAATTCAGAAGTTTTGCTTCCTTTTCTATGTTCTGAAATAGTTTGAGTAGTAGTGGTATAAGGTCTTCTCTGAATGTTTGGTAGAATTCTCCAGTGAAGCCATCTGGGCCAGGGCTTTTTTTGGGGGGAGTGTTTTTTTATTACCCTTTCAATCTCTTCTCTTCCTTTGGTTCTGTTCAGATTTTCAATGTCATTTTGTGATAGTTTGGGTAGATAGTGTTTTTCTAGAAATTAATCCATTTCCTCTAGGTTTTCAAATTTGTTAGAGTATACTTTTTCATAATACTCTCTTATGATCCTTTTTATTTCAGTTGGGTCTTTTGTAATGTCCCCCATTTCGTTTCATTTTTGGGTAATTTGTGTCCTCTCCTGTTTTTCTTTTGTCAGTGGCCAGTGGTTTGTCGATTTTGTTGATTCTTTCAAAGAACAAGCTTTTGTTTTTGTTGATTCTTTCTATTATTTTTTTATTCTCTATTTCATTTATTTCTGCTCTGATCTGTATTATTTCCTTTCTTATGGTAGCTGTGAGCTTTTTTTGCTGTTCTCTTTCTATTTGTTCAAGTTGTGTAGTTAAAGTTTTGATTTTGTCCCTTTCTTCTTTTTTGATGTGTGCATCTATTGCTATACATTGTCCTCTGAGAACTGCCTTTGCTGTGTTGCAAAGGTTTTGGTATGATGTATTTTCATTCTCATTGGATTCTAGAAATTTTTTTATTCCATCTCTTATTTCTCCTATTGCCCAGTGATGTGTAAGCAGGATGTTATTCAGTTTCCATGTAATTGATTTTTTTCCCCTTGCTCTTCCTGTTGTTAATTTCTACCTTGATGGCATTGTGGTCAGAGAAGATACTTTGAATTATCTCAACGTTTTGTATCTTGATGAGGATTGCTCTGTGGCCTAAGATATGGTCTATTCTGGAGAACATTCCAGGTGCATTGGAAAACAATGTGTACTTTGCAGCTGTAGGGTGGAGTGTTCTATCTATGTCTGTGAGTTCAAGTTGGCTGATTGTGCTCTTTAGGTCTTCTGTATCTTTGCTGAGTTTCTTTTTAGATGTTCTGTCCTTTACCAAGAGTGGTGTGTTGAAGTCTTCTACTATCATTGTGGAACTGTCAATTTCTCTTTTCAGTGGTGTTAGAGTTTGTTTTATGTATTTTGGGGCCCTGTCATTGGGTGCATAGATGTTTATCATGGTTATGTCTTCATGATGGATTGTCCCCTTAATCATTATATAGTGTCCTTCTTTGTCTTTTATGGTGGATTTTGTTTTAAAGTGCTCTTTCTTGATAGTTGTTTGCTTGATATGTTTTATTCCATCCTTTGATTTTTAATAAATTTACATCTTTGTTTCTAAGGTGTGTCTCTTGTAGACAGCATATTGATGGATCCTGTTTTTTTATCCATTCTGTCATTCTCCATCTCTTTATGGGTGGATTGAGGCCATTTACATTCAGT